GAGAACAGCAAATGGAGAATTGTCAAATGTTGGGTGGATGTTGCGCTACAGAAGAGGAGTGAGGAGTGTTTTGTGCGAACTTTAAATAAAAAAAACTATAAAAGTAATGCGAATCTGTGTTCACAAAGCTAAAGGCAACTAACTGCACTTAAAGCGAATGAAGCGTTTTGCTCAGTTACGTCGCGTCGCGGCAGTAGGAACTATAAATCCACAAAAACTTGATCACTCCTTGGTTTTTCCAACCGATTTGCAGCACACAATCTATACATCACACACGACAACAACAAACTCATCCGTTAAACGTTGCGCCTTATAAGCACTTAAGTTCTCGACTGGGTCTCGTACATGCCGCGCCGCACGTCGACGACAGTTCCCCCGTAGAGAACGGCCACTGTCACCGCCACACGGCGAGTACATCGAGGGCCATCGAGGGCTCGTTGCAGAGCCTGGCTTGAATGTTGGCAACAAGCTGAAATGAAAAAAATGAAGAGTCTCAAACGCAAATTTAAATAAAGCTTTTAGTAAATTTTATGATAACTAAGTAAATGGAAAGTAAAGAGTAAAATAAAGACTTAAATAAAATTGAGATTTTAAAAATATTTAAAATGCTTCTCTTCTTCTTCTTATTGGCACTCTAACCGCCCTAAGCGATTTTGGTCAAGAAGTTAGCCGTGGTCGACTTCATAAGCGGCGGTCTCATTCGAGGCTTTGTTTTGGTTTTTCATTTCTGGGGGTTTCATAACTGCTGAACAGACGCTGCAGACTTCAGTGAGCCCTTAAACCGACTAGGTCGGATTGGCCCTACCGAAGCTCCCCCTCTTTCTGGCGCGACCCAAGGCTACACTCGGATTGGTTACCGCATCTCGCACATGGTTTGCTCACGGTGCCCAGAGTGCGCGAACGAGGATGCAAGAATCGGGATTGAGTATAGCTGTGAAACTTAAAATGCTGTGTGCTATTTTTTTTTAAAGAAATATATAGCGTACACTGAGGGAAATAATGCATACTAAAAATTAACACTGTATATTAAATTATCGTTTAAAAATGTTCGTGATTAAAAATAATATTTTCATAGCAAAATTTAGCACGCACGTATTTGAATGTTCACATCTTAGTATGTATATGGAAGCGTACAGGCTCTGTACTACAGAGCGGTGACAACACTCATTTATATGTATGGCTGTAGCTGAGTGCAAATTACTTCACGGATGCTTTTTCTGAATGAACGCAGTCATTTTAATATGCGCGCAATTGAATTGAATATTTACCAAGATACAGTACTTTCGTTGCTGTATAAGTACGGTGACCATAAATTTAAATAAAAAAAACAGAACACATTTTTTTATATAAAAACGTATTTATTATTAAAAGTGACAAAAATTCACATAAAGCACATACATCACATTTCATTGGCTTTGATTTTAATTAACAATGCCATAAAAAAATTTGTGCATCAAATACAAATCACTGGTATTTTTCTGCGGCATAAATTTGTTTAATTATATTTTCCTTATTTTGTAAATATTCCCTAAACTCCAAGCAACTCAGTTCATAGTTGCATCTCGTTATTAAAATAGATTTAACAGTCTCAATTTTCATTTGCGATTTTTCATCAGTCCATATATTGTTTAATATGGAAAATACTCTTTCGGTGGGGGCATTTGAACCTGGTAAACACAAATTAAATTCTACAATTTTTAAAATATTTTGAAAAGGTATGGAATTTTTCATAAAATGTTGAAATATTTCAGCCCATTTACTGTCGACTAGCCTTCCACCGTCCGTCCATTCCTTTAGCTTATTTGGAGTCGCATAATTTTTAACACATGTGAACTCATCAAATAACTCGCTGTCGTTAATTTTAATTTGGCTTCTCTTTTCCATAATATATACACAATTTCTTTCAACATCATGCCAAGATGGCATTGTACGCAAAAGTACCCATTCCATCCTTTCAACCTCTTTAAATGCATGATCCCACTGATTTAAATAATCTATGCAATTAATATAAAATTTTTAGACTTGATCTTTAATTTCACTCAGGTTTTCAGTTCCTGCTCTCTCAAATTCCGAAATTATTTTTTTGATCATCAGTGGTAAAAAAATTTCATCTTTGCGTTCTGTGATTTTTAATTTCAGTTGTTTTATTAGTAAAGCAACTTCTACCATACAAATATTCTGCGATTCAATTTGTGTAATATAATTATGGAAAAGAGATGCTTGACAATGTGTAAACAAAAGCCACATTTCTGAAGTAGAATTTTCAAAGAATGTTTTTAGAATGCTTGGGCAGTGAGGTTGTTCTAAAAAATATTTGTTTAGTGGTTTGAAAAGTTTCAAAATTCGTTCAATTGCTGACTTCAAAGTAAGCCATCTTGTTTTACTATACCCCAGCATTTTTTTTA